GTCTGTTCCCTCTGACGAGAGGCCCAGACCCCAGGCTCGACACCGGAACCGAGACCTGAAGCCCAAGTAACATACATCTGTGGAAGGTGGCAGACCTACTGGCCACTGCGGAGTCTGGCAGACTGGAGCCGGTTGGAGAGAAAGCCGCAATTTGCTTTTTGCTAAACCCAGAGCATATGAGTTTTCATTTGCAACTACTCACCTGAGGCTTTGGTGCAGGGAGGGAGGCACAGACTGAGGTGCCTACAGAGGGGCTGGCCTGGGAAGCAGTGCAGGGAGACATGGGAAAGCAGTAGTCAGGAATCCTATATTTGGTCATACGGGTACATTCAAACCAAAACTGCCATTTTTCCAGGGAGGAGCTACCTGCTCCCAGCAGCCACAGGGCAACAAACGACAAGTTCTATTGAGGATGTGGAGAAAAGTGGACCCCAGTACACCGCTGGTGGAATGTAGGCTGGTGCAGCCATTATGGAAAACAGTATGGATTTTCCTCAAAAAAATATGGAACTTCCATTTGACCCAGGATTCCATTTCAAGGAATATATCCTAAGAAACTGGAAACACCAATCAGAAAGAATATATGCACCCTTATGTTCACAGCAGCACAATTTACAATACCTAAGATCAGGAAACAACCCAAGTGCACATCAGCAGATGAGTGGATGTGATACATTTACGCAATTGAATACTATGCAGCAGTAAAAAAATAGAATCTCTTACCCTTTGAGACAGGTCCCTTGGAGGGACCTGGAGAGTATCATGCAAAATGAAATAAGTCAGTCAGAGAAAGACAAGTATCACAGGATCTCACTCATATGTGGAATCTAAGTAACAAAATAAACTAATCAATGGAGTGGATCTAGAGACATGGAAACATGGAACAGAGAGTTGAATCTCAGAGGGAACGTGGGAGAGTGTGGGTGGGTGGATGGTAATTAAACAAGGACCTTATATGCATATATGAATGGCCCATGGACCAAGACAATGGGGTGGTGAGAGCCTGGGGCGAATGTGGGGGGCGGGCTAGTGGGTGTTTAGGTGTGGGGGGGAAGGGGACATATGTAATACTTTCAACAATAACAAATTATTTAAAAATATATATATTAGCATGTTAAAAAATGGGTAAAGGACCTAAATACACACGTCTCCAAAGTGGACATACAGAAGGCCAAGAGATATATGAAAAAGTGCTCAGAGTCACTAATCATCTGAAGAGATGCAAATTAAAACAACAATTAGGTATCACCTCACACCTGTCAGAATGGCTATCATCAACAAATCAACAAATGATGTGTTGGTGAGAATGTGGAGAAAAGGGAACCCTAGTGCACTACTGGTGGGAATGCAGACTGGTGGGTGCAGCCACTGTGTATAACATTATGGAGATTA